AAGAAAACTGAAAAACAGTAAACAAATTCATATTTATTTTGGAACTCTAACTATATGTTTGAAATAATTGTATTTTACAATTTCTAGTTTAGTATATAGATTAAAAGAAGTAAATAGCTAATGTCATAAATTATTTTAAGACAAAATTAATAAATTCATAAACAATTAATTATAAAATTAACTAATACTACAATAACAACTAGAAATTACGAGTAGTGTGTTTTTTAATTGTCGAACGAAATTAGTAATTTTTTTTATGTTTATATGACAGACGCTAAAAAGAGACCACTTTTTTGTCTATGGGTCAGTCGAATTCATATAATTATCTGTTATCCATATTTTCTTTCCTATTTTCCTAAAAATTGTTAGAAATATTATTTGAATAACTAGAAACCATAGATTAATCAAAAGACTCGTTTAGAATTATAATTTGTAAAAAAAAGTCGGTTGACTGTAAAGTCGGTTTACTGACGATAGTTGAACGTGACAACGTCATAAGAAAATACTGATGGAATGGTTGCATTTTACGAAAACATGTAAATGTATTATTGTATAGCAGCTGTCCACGCGGACGCATCGCTCACTCAAGTAGGAGAGAGACAGATGTCAAACGCTGCCGAAGGCGGAGGCCGATTGTGCCTCTTTGTCACTCGTTCCGCGCTCTCGCTTGCACTTCACGCCTTAAATGGAACGCCTCAGAGCGAGGTAACGCCGCATGAGTCATGTTTTTTCGTGCGTGCAGCCGGCTTCATCGAATTATAAGACGTTGTCACGTCAAAAAATCTTTGTAGGTAATGTTCAGATATAGAACATAACAGAAACCAAAAAACATGTGAAAAATATGTGCTTTAAAGTTAAAAAATATGTGAAAATGACCACATACACGTCATGTACAGCCACGGATATAGTGGCCCAATTTATTTTGACCCATCATGGTACAAAGGTCTATAAAAAGAAAACCAAAGTTATACTGGTCAATTAAATAAAACAAATCATTCATAGTTGGACTAAAAATAAAATAATACCGTATTACAAGTAGTAAAGATTGCTATTTGCCTGTGTCAAACCACAACCGCCCCATTCAAATGGTCCTATCTGTGTTGATGGTTGTTATGGCGTCTGCCAGGTACCGTTTGCCTTGTGTGATAGATTAAAATTTAAATTAGACGAATTGAAAATGGTAATTGGAAATTTCAAATTGTTTACATAAAAGAACTGGATTGGATAATGACGATTTTTTTTCTTTTATAAAAGCAACTCCTGCACTAGAAATAAATCCTGTGTCGCGGGGGACTTGAAAAACACAGATGAAACGAATACAAAAAACACCCAGACTCAGAACAACAATTTGTGGATCACACAAAGAGTTGTCCCGTGTGAGGATCAAACTCAAACAACATTCAGCGCAGTAAGAAGTGGCAAGGTGACCGCTTAAACCACTACGCCATCCGTTCAGTCAATTGTGATTAGAAAAAAATTATAATTTATTTGTGTAAAGGTTTTTGATTTTTTTAGATTATAATCACTTGTTGCTCATTCGTATTTAAATTATAGAAGATAAATAAGAGTTTAGGTGTTGTCTTCAATTGAATCATTGAATTGAGCTATCTAAATAAATAAATGCTAAAATAAATTAAATACGCAAATATACCAAAAAGGCTTTGAAAACGACGTAAACATCAGGTGACCCTTTTTCTTTTTTTTTTCCGTGCGGAAATCCCCTCGGATACCACCCGTCGGTGGCATGTCGGACTCGAACCGACTAAAACCGCACGCCGTCTCGGGTACCAATAGCCGGGGAACCAGGTATACCCTAGAAAGGAAGTCCCTGGTACAACATCAGGTGACCCGTCTGCCCCCTCTAACATAAAAAAAAAACCTAGTACAGTCTTTGATCATCATCATCAACAGCCTTTAATAGTCCACTGCTGATCTAGTCTTTTTTCTTTGACTTTTTTTTGGCCTACAGTCTTTGAAGATGTATTTCATTGCTGGATTGGTTTGAAAGGGCTGAGTAGAGAAGTGCGGTCGGCTCCGCACTTCCCTACTGAGTCCGGATGGTTCAGTGTTGGAACTGTCGACGGTAGGCTCGCGCCTGCGTAGTACTGAGAGTCTGAATGGAGCAACGCTAATAACAATACGACCCTCACACTATAGTCCAAGTGCTGGCAGACAATTTTGAGTATGTATTTGAGGCAGCATGAAAATCTTCTTTCATCACATCACATCAACAGTCTTTAGTAGTCTACTGCTGGACATAGGCCTCTTCTTAAAAAGGAAATCTTCTTTAGTGACATGTAAATACGAAATCGAGCACCTGTCAAAAAGGTAGTAGTGCGTTTTCAACCCTTACCTTTACTAACCCTTTTAAACCCGATAAAATGATAAGAATGAGAACGAAAAAAAAAAGCGTTATTAAGCCTCACCATCCTTTAGCTAGGTGTCGATTGCGTATTTAGACATTAGGTACTAGAGAAATCATCACCATCATCTCTATCGGCTCTAGTAATGTCTTAACTTTATTTGATATTATTTACACAAAATTGTCTACCAGCTCTCTTACTATAACAAGCTTCGAAATAGATTACAAGTATGTAAAAAAAATTTAAATAGTGTTTGTTCATATATAGGACAGCTAAAATTATTATTTAATTCATCTATTGTGTTTAATTTTAATGGAATTAATCAAAATAATTGATGGAAACATTGGTATCATGAAGGCTAGGTTAAAAAGACTATAGAAAATATAGGCTATTTCTGAAATGTTGGCATGGACCAGCAACATTTAAAACTGAAAATTTGAAAGTAAGAAAAAAAATTAAATGGTGTATAAAAATAAATTTTTATTTATAAAAAAAACACACACAAACAAAAGTATAAAAAATAAAGAAAAATATCAAAGTAAAAAATAAAAAAGTAAAGAAAAATATCAAAATAAAAAAATATATAAAAATAAAAACGGTGCTTGTTTAGTTTTTAGGGGCCGCTAAACAGTTTTTAGGGTTCTGTCTATCTGATCATAAATTGATATAGGTACTATATACTACACATAAGCATATTCATTTCATAATCTACCAAAAATAAGTTATATTTAGGTATAAATTTAAGTTATTTGGCAATAAAAATATGAAAAATCAATGATTTTCAAAATAAAATTTTGTAACTCGGCAACTTAAACAGATTTAAAACGCAAACCCTTGTAAAATATGCATTTTCATAAACAATAATACGTAAACATATACGTTACTAAACAATTTAAAATAAAAAAAAAACAAAATGCTCTGAAAACAATACAGTACAGTCTCTGAAGATGTATTTCATTGCTGGATTGGTTTGAAAGGGCTGAGTAGAGAAGTGCGGTCGGCTCCGCACTTCCCTACTGAGTCCAGCTGGTTCAGTGTTGGAACCGACGACGCTGAGTTCGCGCTTGCGCAATACCAAGGGTCTGAACGGAGCAACTCGTATTAAAACCATAGAGCAAAACACATACCACTGCTCTATGATCATAACACAGCTTTAGCACTACCAAGCTTCGAAATACGCTATAACAGAAAAAAGTTAAAACATTTCACAAGGCTCTTCGAATATAATTGATATTGTTAGGACTAGATGAATATTTTTTCTAACTTGTTATATATGTGTCTTTAATATAGCACACTATTAGTACACACTCAACCTGCACCTGCGTTTCACTTGTTCCCACATTCGTAACATAACCATAGGTAAATATTTTGTACTTCATTGCTAAATTGGTTTGAAAGGGCTGAGTAGAGAAGTGCGGTCGGCTCCGCACTTCCCTACTGAGTCCGACTGATTCAGTGTTGAAACTGTCGACGCTAAGTTCGCGCCTGCGTAATACCGAGAGTCTGAACAGAGCAACGCGTATTACAACACACCCCTCACACTACCACGCTTCGAAATACGCTAATAACAAAAAAAAAAGTTAAAATTTTTTACAAGACTTTTTGAATATAATTGTTAGGTTTAGGACTAGAGAAATATTTCTTCTAACCGTACGCAAATATCATAAAGGATATTGGTATAATATGAAATCAAGCTGTTTTTGAAATGTTGGTAGTCTACATATATCAGGGAAATGATTCTTTAAAAGCTTATCTACGAGGTCTATACTATCTAGGTCTTTACAGTTGTGTTCATCGACCTTGTAACAAACCATCACCAGATTCAGGTGACCCTAAGCTGGCCCTCAGCGGCCATCTGTTAACCAACACAGTAAAAATTGCATTCGGCTTATTTTATTAGTGTTGCCAGGATCCATAATTATACATGTGTCCTGATGTCAGTACGGATGTTTATAAGTTTTTGGAGTATATAAAAGCTGAAAATAGCACGAAAATAAAATTATTATTAGACAAAAAGAGTCTAAACACATTTGTTAAAAATTTAAACAATGTCAAAGTGATGTCGTAAAACAAGTAAGTTTGTATCTTCAAAATTGCACATACTCCCATCATAATTTAAAGAATTATCTACCTTGAATTCGCTTTACGCTCGTCTTGGCAATTAACCGTAAAAAGGAAAATCCTTTGAATCATAGTCGTTGCCGTCAACTTTGAAAAACTATGATATTCATTCTATTTTTATCGATATGATACGCATAATATCGGTAGATGGTCATTCATGTTTTAATATTAAGTTATAAAAGGAGCGGACGCAGTCAAAGATTGAGGAGAAGGGTTGGTCATATTATTGAAACGGTCATCTTTGTAGATAAAAGTTATAGCTGTTTTGCCGGACAGAAAATATCCGGCCAAGCTGAATAGCCCAATTTGCTGCCGTTAAATATCCTGCCTAAGGTTTAATTACGGTATTTCTTGGTTATTTTCCTTCGAGCATGATTCTAAGGGAGAGGGGATCATGCTGCCTATGAACTCCCTACGTACCGTGCGTGAGTTTTGGTAATATACAATAAGATTAATATATGGACACAGGACTATACGATAAGATAATTCACGAAATGCAGTTATCGCTATCCCTCGTCACTTCTTTTTCTTTTTGTTTCTTTTCTTTTTCTGTAACGATGGCTTGAAAGGGCCGAGTTCTAGTCGTACAAGTAAGCCACGCCACCAAGCTGGAACATGATAAGTAGAAAATGATTTAACTTACACTTACTTATGACAGTTAAAAATGAATAAGACGTAAAACAAAGGGTACTAATTTTTTTTTCGAACTGACTGAGCTATCAGCAATATATTAATTTACATCTTAGACACAAACTGACCTTGCACAATGATTGCAGCATTTGCCATCTTCCTTTGGTACGCACGAACTTTTTCACGCTCTACCTTGAACTGGATAAAGTTCTTCATTTCTACATCATGTTCAGCTAACTGTTAACAAAATTTCGGTTTAACGATAGATGTAAGAAGCACTGGAAGCTGGAATATAGTGTCTCGCGATGGCCAAAACCAGCCGGCGCGTGCCAGCGCCAGCCATCGCGAGACGTCGCTTGACCGAGAGAGACCGTGCGGAGCCTCGATGGCCGGTGCGAGATCTGTATACCTGTTTTACAAAGTAAATTAATACTATATTGTTAGAGCAATAAAGTTCAATATTGCTAACAAATATATCAATTCTCGCCTAGCACATCCTCACGCATATAGATCTTTTACACCAGGGCAGGGCGTGGATAGAAGTTTTGTCATACGAATTTCAATTCTCGCTTGGCCCATCCACGCCTCGCCTCGCCGCTGTGAAACCACCTTCAGACTGTAGTGTTTGTATAATTATCTCGAGTGCACGGGGAGACGTGTTGAGTTGACCCTAGCTACGGGTGAGGTAAGGAGCCAATAACTGCCCCTTGTGTTAGTATGAGTATTACACGGACAATAGCTATTTCCAGTAACAGAAATGTGACCTTGATCTGTTTGAGCTATTTCTTACATTCTCCAATCCATCTCTATTAGCAATATCTCTTTTCTACTATTGCCGTCCTTATCTCGCTTTCTTTTCAATATACTCTCCATTTTCCTATTTGATCGATAGAACCCGGGTGACGACAATACTTATCTCCTATTACGTCATCATCATCAACAGCCTTTAATCGTCCACTGCTGGACATAGGCTTATCCTTAGAAATATTGCAAAAATTGCAACGTCACATTTTATTATAACAGTGAAATAAGGAATGGGAAGGAATACTTACTTTATGAATTATGACAATAATAAGCAATATACTGTCTAAATAAAGGGAATCTACATACACATTCATTGTCATCATCTCATCAACATCTCTTAATATGGCCAAGGAACTTGCGTCCGTATGGCATACCTGCAAAACTGATGGGTGTATACCCGAGTGATTTATGACCGAGATTTCAATCCAGCGACCGCTTGGTGATCACGACCGCGTAAGTCTTAGCTATTATACCGCTTATTAGGATAAATGTTACCTTTTGTTCCAATTCAATTCTTTTTTCCACCTGCTTCTCGTAATTAAGTCTCATTGTAGTTATCTTGACTTCCAAATCCTCCATATCTTTGTCGTATTTGGACATGCACTCCTCTATTTTTCTTAGTGTCTCCTGTAAAGGGGAAAGTATCATTCTACATGCTAGAGATAATCTATCTGTAGTGTATATCTCCTTTTATTTTTAACTGTTTATGAATTTGAGATTCGTGGAGGAGAGCAGTAGAAAATAAATCGTATTACGTAAATACGGACTGCTTAAGACCGGGGGGCTTGGCGCTCCTTGAGGGGAGACCTTCATTTAGCAGTAGACCGCAATAAACTTCTTGAGATGGGGAATTGCATAATCAGTGTACGAATATAAGGTATATGTATTTATAGGTATGTATGTGTGTAGTTGTATCTGCAAGTTTTATATGTTTTGGATAAGAAAACTGTAAAGCTACTATTATAACTGTGCACCTCAGTGCACCTATCTCACCAGCTTTCTACACCACCCACAGGTTAGCTGGTGAAGAATACCCAGGGCATTAAGTCCATGCCGTCTCCTTCTGCGAGCAAGTTTTAGGTTTAGAACTCTCCCGGCCCGCCAGGCCCGGGAACGGGCTAGATGCCGCAGGCGACTCAGGCGCCGGAGGTCGCAGAACGACCTCCGTCCTCCATAAGCGCAGGCCTGGGGGTGACAGGTGAGGCCATCTGTCACCCTAGCAGAACCAGGCCGGGGTGGCGGTGAGCGCGTTGCGAAGCGCGCTCGCTTCCAGGGAGCAGAGGGAACATGGGGTTCCCACACGGGGGGGGGGGGTCGTCTATTCGTACGTAGATGGCCCGAGGTATGTCGGGGCACCAGGGACTTCCTTTCTAGGGTATACCTGGTTCCCCGGCTATTAGTACCCGAGACGGCGTGCGGTTTTAGTCGGTTCGAGTCCGACATGCCACCGATAGGTGGTATCCGAGGGGATTTCCGCACGGAAAAAAAAGGGCATTAAGTCCATCAATGTACATAAAGTTGTAAATAAATAAATAGGGTGATGATGACGCAGTAACTATTCTACTTACATAGACTGTTATGTTAATAATATTTTCCACTTCTGAATGAACACGTTGCTCATCATCCGCTTTGTTTTGGTACTTGGTAATGGTACTGGAGAACGATGCCTCCTTATCTTGAATACGCTTGTTGTTTTGCTCAGTTCGTGAACTCTCCCATTTCTCGGTGTACCTTTCTTGGGTGCTTCTTTTAACAGTTTCATCCTATAATTAAATTGAATAGAGACCGCCCGCACTTCTCCCGGTTCTAGTCCTACCTACGCGCCCCAGTACCGCAAGTCAGGACACAATTAAGCGGTTTGACTTGACTGCAAGGATGGCGTAGTGGTTTAAGCGGTTGCCACACCGTTGAAACCACGCTTACTGCGCTAAGTGTTTTAGGTTCGATCCGCACATGGGACAACAATTTGTGTGACCCACAAAATTGTTGTTCTGAGTCTGGGTATTCTTTGTGTGCGTTTCATGTATGTTTGTAAAGGTAGGAAATATTTCTAATGCAGTAGTTGTCTTTAAAAAAATCATATAGTCTTAGGTTGAAAGTCCTACAGTTGACATTAAAGCAACAGAATTAGATTTATCACACAAAGTCTTAATGGAGCTGTCATTAGGTGATTATCGGCTTAAGTCATAAATGTTTACATCATCACACATCCACAGCATTTAATAGTCTACTGCTGGTCATAGGCCTCTTCTGAGAAAGGAGGTTTTGGCCTCCTATATATCCTATATTTAGTTGTTGTTGTTGTTTCAAGTTTTACTTCTCTTTGCAGTGGTGTTGTCCTGCGTAATTTGCTCCCTTAGTCGGTCACTACATGAATGGTCAAGCGCTTGGTGTCACTTACCTCAAGTCTAGATATGAGTTCATCCACAATTTGATTGGTTTCGTAAATGCATGATTTTATACGGATTCGTTGCTGACGGACTTGTCTTCTCAAACTTCGGCGCATTCTAAAATATATTTTTTAATAGTATAGGGGGGACAAAGAGTGGACTTCCTTTCTAGGGTATACCTGGTTCCCCGGCTATTAGTACCCGAGACGGCGTGCGGTTTTAGTCGGTTCGAGTCCGACATGACACCGACAGGTGGTATCCGAGGGGATTTCCGCACGAAAAAAAAAAGCAAAAAAAAAAAAAAGAAAAAAAAAAGGGGGACAAAGAACAGACGTTTCACTTGATGGTAAGTGACTGCCGCCGCCCATGGGAACCTTTAACTCAAAAGTCATAATTGCGTTGCAGCTCTTTTAGTCCCCCTCCCATAATCAGAGGGAGTGAAGGTTTGGGCTCCAATAACTTCCCTCGCTCGATGAGAAGCGAAAACAGAATTACTTAACAGCGGTTTTATGTGAAACCGTGGCATTATTCCTATCGAATCGGACCACCTCATGCCGAAGCATAACTCTACCACGGTATGAAAAATATGAAGGTAGAAACATAATAATACAAGGTTTACAAACAAGAAAATGATTAAGAGCTCTCCTGAAAGTGAGCAGTTATGTGTGCTCATTGACATTTAAAAATATTAGTGGCATCACTTGGCGTTCTGGTGATCATAATTTCCATCGTAAAGGTAAGTATTTCTAACCACGGTGTTCTCGTGACTATCCGCTTTCTGACACCAACTCTCGTTAGGAATCGAATGGTTTTCATACAGACACATACAGAAAAGAAGGCTTAACTGGGAAATAGGACTTCAGTGAAAACCCGTCCTATGACTAGAGATAGGACAGGTACACACGGCAAACAAAATATGGATATATACCATTAGTACAAAGTATCTGTAATCAACTATAGAAATAGAAACTAATAACGCAGAATGTTTTTAAAACAATAATAATGGGGAATATGTACGTGACACCAAAATGGACAAAATATTTTTATTTGTAATTTTTATTGCTAAAAAAAGATACCCATACAATTATTTTTGAAATTTATTATAATTTAATAGTGAAATTTAATCATCAAAAATTGGCTTTTTTAAGATTCCCTCGCAAATTTCTAAAACGCAACGCTATTGGTTGAATAAAACGTGACGTCAACCTACACTGTCAAGAGTGTCAACAAGTTGTGTGTATTTGTAATATTTGGTTTCTGGTGATTTTTTGTTTCATTTTAAGTTAATAACTAATACGTTATCAGTGTTAAATTATTAAATTTCCGTGTAGAAAGACTCAACACAATGACTGAAACCGGTTTTGTCAAAGCACAATCAGATAATCTTTCTAAAATAGACGTGTTTATGATGAGCACCTATTACGCATCTAATTCAGATTTAACGTCTGCTGAACTCAGAGGAGTAAAAGCTGCGAGGTAAACAAGTTATATAAATTTTATTAAATGATCGTTTTCATGGTTTTGTTAATAGTCGTATAACATAAATATAACCTAAAATACGCTGAGGTTCAGTTTTGATATATTTGGGCACAAAGGAACCGCACAATATTTATAATAAGTTTTTATTGGCTTTTCCATGGTAATCAGTTAATTTTTATCACTCACTTTTTTAACTTTCAGAAACTTTGTGAACTTCACTCCGTTGTTGACATCGAATTCGTCTGAAAGTGTAATCTGACGTCACAAAAAAAAGCGCGCCAAAATGGACGTGTTCAAATTGCCCCAAAATGATAGAGATTTTAATAAATTTTTTTTTGCTAATGGTTTATATTTCGGATGTGTTATATTTATTTTTGGTAATGTAATAACTAGTAGAATTGTTAAAAAAAATAAAATAAATACATGCATATTCCCTATTTGCAAATGTATGGGTGAAGAAACGAGTTATTTACATATCAAACACATGTAAACGTATAATAATACACTTGCGGTAATAAAACAGGCCACTTAGTCTAGTGGTTAGTGACCCTAACTATTAAGCTGGAGATCGTGGGTTCGATTAATTATACGAAGAGCAGATGTATGGTTATCAGTAGTCCGATTACCATAGCACAGGCTCTGCCTAGATAAAGATCAGACTGCCGTGTGTTAGATGTGTGAAGTTATGTTTATTATAACACACATGTAAACCTGAACTGGTGGTTATAACCATGGCCACAACTTACTCTTTATTTCTTGCCTCCTCGTCTATTAGAAACAGAAAGTGGTCCATTCGATCTTCAGCATCTTGTCTATAGTTCACCAGAGCTTCAAAAGTGCCGTACTTCGTCAGTCCCAAGTATGTATGTGTCAGAACAGTAATACACGTATTTCTAAAAACACACACGAAATAAATGAATTATGAATTCAGGTGTAAATAATCATGGGGCCAGATGTAAAGTGCAGATGACCCTAGGTCCGTCATGGATTTTTTCCTAGGTTACACCAGAAGACCAATTCTCGTAATAAAAGCTCGGTCACAATTCAGTTCCCATTAACTTTCGATCTCACAACTGTCATAAAAGGTATTTTCGTAATGAATCTATACTAATATTATAAAGTTGAAGAGTTTGTTTGTTTGTTTGAACGCGCTAATCTCAGGCACTACTGGTCCGATTTGAAAAATTCTTTCAGTGTTAGATAGCCCATTTATCGAGGAAGGCTATAGGCTATATATCATTACGCTAAGACCAATAGGAGCGGAGCACCAATGAAGAATGTTTCAAAAACGGAGAAAATTTATTACTATTGAGAGACGCAGACGAAGTTGCGCGGGTCAGCTAGTAGTGATATAAAGTATTACTAAGACTAGCAGATGACCGATTCAATTTTCGGTTACAATACGATATAATCACATTACAGTCAACATTGGACGTTTAATGCTTAACTACAAAAATACCTTTTCTGACAGTTATGAGATCAAGAGTTGATCGGAACTGAATTGTCACCGAACTTTTATTTTATTGGCTTTCCGGTTCCCCGGTATCCGAGACAGTGTGCGGTTTTAATCGGTTCTAGTCCGACATAACCACCCCATCAGCCGTTCGGTGGGGGGTATTCGCGGGGGTTAAAACTAAACTACAGATAAAACTAAAGATAAATTTAACAACTTCTGTATAGTTAAAAATAATCTAAAAATGGCTACATAAAGCTGTAGGGCTCCAGTATGTATTATGATCTGTCATTGTACAAAACTCTTTACAATGACATTTCAAGTTATACCGGTCGATCCAGGTAATCTCTAGTTGATATATTCCTGGTAACCGGACATAAATGTATTAAAACAAACCGTTACCCGTGGCAGAGCCATGCTTTAGATACCCCGGCCTCATAGAAATTCTATAGTTGCTCATTGAGGTAGTGGACCTCCCATAACCTCAGACTCGGTCACTGAGGTTATGGGAGGTCCGCTACCTCACTTGGGTCTTTTGAGGTGTAAAAGTACTTACAGATCAGATGACCCGTCTGTTCGTTTTCCCTATCAGCATCATCAACAGCAGTTTAAAAGTCCACTGCTGGACTTAGGTCTCTCCTTACAAAGGAGGTTTTGTCCTACTATACCACGCTGGCCAGACGGGTTGGTATAGGGTTTATGTCAAGTTTTCCTTCTCTTTGCAGTGCTGTTGTTCTCTGTAATCTGAATCACCACACTAACAGTATATACATACAATATCCCATATACAATTACAAAACATTGTCTAATATATACAAACCTGTCTGCAGCATGTTTACGAAGTTTGTAAACGTCGTTTTCAAGATTCTTCGGATCTATTTCGAGCAATTCATCTTGGTGGTCAAAAGACTCTACACCAAACTTTTCTTCGAGTAATCCTTGCATAACAAACTGCGTTTTGTAAAAATGCATTTCGTTATTGCACTCACCTACAACCATAGATTTATAGAATTAGACTTTTAAATGTGCTTCTCTAGAGGTGGACAAAATCGATTTATACTGTTACAGTGAAAGACGTAAGAAAGAAAGAAAGACTCGCAAATTATAAATCGATTTATATGCATACACCTTTTCTTGTGTAACACGCTACCCACCGCCCAGACCTCTTCCAGTCCCCGTTCTCGTCCTACCTCCGCTCCCTTGTACCCCGCAGGCGAGGGCTCAATTAAGCGGTTTATTTCTAAACTACTGGATTGTAGCTACTTAAGGTTCTATTTGATGTGTTATTTAAATTTAAAGAAAGTATTACATCTCTGGGAGCAGAAGTAGTGTCTCTCTTGAGCTGTAGGTGTTCACGGGCGGCGGTAGAAACTTACCATCATCATCGTCAGCTCATTTGCCCTTTTTTTTCTCTGTGTGGAACTCCCCTCGAATACCACCCACCAGTGGGGTGGTTATGTCGGACTCGAACCGACTAAAAACCGCACATCGTCTCCAGGTACCAGTAGCCAAGAAACCAGGTATACCTTAGAAAGGAAAGCCCCGATACCACGAGGCTCATTTGTCCCTACACAAAAAAAAACTCAATTCTTCGGTCTCACAAATACAAATACAAGCTACTGAAGAAAATAGACACACTAAAAACCCAGTTAGATTTCTAGATCAAACTAAATAATAAAAAATCCATACCCAAGATCCGGAGCTGTATTAAGATGTCTTCGATTATGGTGGCAAACAAGTGTATATGGGTTGCACTGCTAAAGAGATGTTTCTGGTTAGTTGAGGAATATCGTCTGAATAACGGCAACGCACACGTGACTTATGTGTTACAGCTGTCCATAAGCGGCGGTAGTCACTTACCATCAGGTAACCCGGCGTGCGTGTGTGCGTTCGTTGATGTGTGTGTGTGAGAGTGTGAGAGAGAGAGAGAGAGAGAGTGTGTGTGTGTGTGTGTGTCGATTTGTACAGGACTTTCACTCTGGCAAATAGGATATTATATGTACCAAACTTAGACCCCCTCTTTTCACGATGGTACCATTTGTGGCGCTTTATCTATGGAAGACACACCGAACTACAAGAGTAATTCTTAATCCAGTATCGCGATATGAAAAGTTCTCCAGGCACATGTCACCCGTTCCCTTACACATTAATGTACATTATTCTGTATTAATAATCTACGTTGAGAATAATAAAAAATACTTACTCCATACATGTTTTAGATGTGGCAACGGAATTACTAGTCCGACTTGTAGCGCTCTGTAATTTGATTAATACTGCTATTGAAAACTGAATACACATTCAAAAACATGACAATTTACCACGGCCTTACAAAAATATAAGCAATTTATTCGTTACTTTTCACCGAAGGAGTGATTTTGTGAGTTCTTTCTGATCACCTTACCGACTCGATGAAAAGTAACGAAACCTTAACATATTACTGCAGCATGACTCTCCTACGATGTCTCTCGTTTAGCAAATTATTGATCAGAAAGAAATAAGAAATACAGTTGGTTGTTATTGTTCAAATAACTTACGTGTAGGTTGGGAGCGGTGAGGAGTCTTAAAGATAATTCTCTTGTTAAGCGAGGACCACCGTCATTATCATCTTCATGAAACAAAGATAGACAAACGTTCTTCGACTGATTACAATGCGTATCTAGAGACATTGTTACTCAGTATAATCACATTAAAAAAAACTTGGTATGAAAAGTAAAAAAATATATAAAAAAATCAATTAAATGAAATCATAATCATTGTAAATAAATATCAAAAGATTTTGTTTGTTATTTGCTTGAGCCCACACTCGGTGACATTTGACAATGTCATTCTTAGAGCCATGGTATCCATTCGGCTACGGCCAGCGTTTTAATTTTACATTTAAATAACTTACGAAATCTAAGTTTACAGTTTAGCCGTAACCATAATGATTTTGAGGACTAGAACTTTTAAAATAACCTCTAAATAATAAACCTCTGTATAATAACCTCACACATCTCACACACCAGACTGCTGATAAACGCCCGCAATGTCTTTGAAATTTATAGAAACATACATGAAACGGACACAAAGTGCACCCAGACTTAGAACAACAATTTGTGGATCACATAAATTGTTGTCCCTTGCGGGGATTGAACCCACAACACTCAGCGCAGTAGGAAGCGGCGAGGGGACCGCTTAAACCAATACGCCAACCGTGCAGTCGGGAAAGCTAGATTGACTGATAGAATACTTATTTATGTTTTTATGGAAGAGGGGGCAAACGAGCAGACGCCTGCTACCCAGGAGTCACAAGCGCGATGCCGGCCTTTGAGGAAGGAGTACGCTCTGTTCTTTAAGGTTTGAAGGTAGTACTTTTTTTTTTGTAAATACATACATATTATACATAGAAAACACATAAACTCCGTAACAAGTATTTGCAGATCATGCAAACATAGTATGTACAAGAAAAAGTATTCTACCAGTCACCGCTGGTTATGTCGGACTCGAACTGACCAAAAAACGCACGCCGTCTCGGGTACCTCGGGTTATAAACCATAAACCATCCAAAACTCCTTTTTAATTTAACGCATTACATCGATTAAAACTAAAGGAATTCAGTATATATTTTGACCTGTTATAGGACAGAAGTCTATAAAATGACACTTCAAATTATACCTTTTGTTCTAAGAAATAAAACACCACATTCAAAACAATCGAAATTCGCCTACCAGAAGATCTTTAGTTTGTATAAGTGCGCATATCGCAACTCTTATTGAAGCGGAATCTAATAATTTATTTCAACATTTATTGCGTGTGAACGACGAACGCGAAACTTTCAAGTATTCCGCTATTGAATGATCTTACGATTCACGAGAAAATACACCATTATTTTTTATCCACAAAAGCATCATGTTTAGAAAACGTTTGCTGAATAACGAAGCAGTCCAACCATTGCTTTTATATTTCAGATAATATTCAGGAATACCTAAATACTTCGAGGTGTTAGGCGCACTTCTTTCTAAAAGGCTGGCAACGCCGACTCCTGTCTAATTATAAAATAATTTCTGTCCTATCTAATTATAAAACTCCCGCACTAGGTATAAAGTATCCTGCCTCCAAAGGGCGTTACAAACACACATTAAACGTACCCAAAGAACACCCAAAACTCAGAACAACAATTTCTGGATCACACAGTGTTGTCATTATATGGCGATCGAACCCACTAGAATCAGCGCAGTAGGAAGTTAAAACTATGTCATAAGCAGTCAAACATTGTACAGATAAGAGAAGACGAACCATGAAGGCAACCGTGGGAGAGCCATGCTTCGATAAATATGGGTCGACCCGGGTGATATCACAGCCTAGCGGGAAACTTGTGTGAAGCAATTCTTTCGTGGCATTTCACCGAGTGGATGAGGTAACCGGAGAATAACCCCACGCTTTAATTAATCATCGTCAACAGCCTTTAACAGTGAACTGGTGGACATAGGCCTCTGCTTAGAAAGGAGGTTTTGAACTACTATACCACGCTGGCCAGACGGGTTGGTAAAGGGTTTGCGTCAAGTTTGCCTTCTATTTGCAGTGCTGTTTTCCTACATAGATAGTACCCGTAGTTGGCTCTTACAACACCCATGGGATAAGTAGGGGTGGTGACACTCCGTTACCACACGGATTCGTTTAAATTACAGGGTAGGTAAAAAGGGTAATCGTAGAAAAGGGATATTAGTTTAAGGATGAATTGGGGAAAGTAGGCAATGATTTCTGCAGATCAGGATCGCGTAAGTCCGAGCCCTGTAACCTCAACTGTTTTTATACACCTATCAAGATTGCAAAAAATCGTATGCGGGTAAACGTCGTTCAAGGTGTCTAATCAACTCAAGGTTGTATAGACTAGAGAAGAATTCACATTCCCGTTCACTTCTTGAGTTAATGTACACATTACAACTGTATTTTTTTATAACTGTAGAACTTATTGCACCGAGAGTTATGCAAAAATATGTATTTGATGTTGCTTATATTGTTTTAGATAGTCTTTTTACCAATTTAAATTGCGTTTTTTGCAAAACGGGATCTTATGTCCCTAAAATAATTAGGAAATAATAATCTCACACATCCTATATCCCCAAATTAGGCAGAGTCTGTATTATGGGAACCAGACTACTGATAAGCATAGTTATATATTTCCAAATGCATACATATCTATACAAATAAACAAAATTGTAGTGTCTGTTTGTTATGTCAAAACAAAAGTTTTTTCCTGCTCACCCGGTTTTTTCACGACACCTATGCCTAAAAACCATTTTAAATATTTTTGGTCTGTCTCTTTGTTGTATGTAATCTTCAAAACGGCTCACCCGATTTTGATACCAAGTAGCTGTCTATACGAGTATAAGGAGTAACTTAGGCTACTTTCCCTCTCAGAAAAACCCTAGAAAATTTTCCCCGGTCCGGGAATCGAACCCGACGCCTTATGGACTGCAGTCGTGTACTACTAACTACACCACTAAGGCACCGCTTTTTAAATTCCACACGAACCAGCCTACCAGCTAGTTATAGATAAACACGGTACAAATGATCATGCTCACCACACAATTATTTGTCCTGGGTGGGAATCGAACCGCTGGCTTAGCAGTCAAGATATATATAGCAGACCGGACTACTGTATCAAGAGACCGTCATAACATGAAGGTCTTCTCGACCACATCGTGACGCAGGATAAGTAGTAGAATTTTACATATCGTTTATGAACTTCTAACAGCGCATAAGTTCAAAATCTATACTTTACAGGAGAGGAAACAATACGGTTCGAACTGTTCGAAACATGTTTTACAAAATATTGAACTTTTGAACACACTCAGTGTCAGTTTTACTAAAAAATCAGGCAATTTTTATTAGCTATCTTTTTCAAGCGATAGTATGCGAGTTAACTCTTCATCAGTTCATATCAAAATAAAACACAAGCGAATGACTTACCAACTTTACTGACGAAAACTGTCTTGTTAGATACCTATTTAAATTATTCATCCGAGAAAGGGATATCATGTCAGTAAAATATTACACGAATAATTGATAGAAAACATAAAACTTTTATAGAAAACAAAACCAAAAAAAAGCGTGGGGTGCTTTTTACTATTGACAACAGGCACCAAACGCTTTTTTTTCAAATTTATTAATAAAAGCGTGTTTTTTAGTTTTTTTAAACTATTTTTTTTATATTAAAGACAACAATCTATCTTCTATTACATAATTTATGCAGTAGCCGAATTAGCCGACTAAGAACTCAACTACTGTATGAATCGATACATCACTCTCTAAAGCGTCGAGTACTGTTTGAGTTTTCTATTGATCTATAAACTCAGGGTAATATGAACGAGAATATACTATATAAATAAATTATATGTGTTTACATAAATCACACTTGTATGTTTAGACTAATTTATATTATTTCTTCTAGATTTATGTGTTTTAAACAGCACTGCAGTCGACCGCATTCTGATTAAATTTTAGTGTTTATTTGAGGGTATCCCTAGGTGTTAAGTTTACGATTAATAGCGCTGCAAATCATCGTTACTGTTCTGTCCTATTTCGAATTCATGACCGTTCATGACTTCATGTTCATGTCTGTTCATGAGTTGGTCTAGTGGTAGTGACCGTAACTGCTAAGCCGAGGGCAGTGGGTTCGATTACTTCTCAAGACAAATAATTGTATGACGAGAACGATAATTTGTTCTATGTCTGGGTATAATTTATCTATAATGTGTATGAATTTTTAAATATTTGAGTATGTTTATCGGTATTCTGGTCACCATAGTTTAGGCTCAGCCTAGTTTCGGATCAGACTGTCATGTGTGAGCTGTGAGAACCTATTATTATTAATATTAACAGCCACAATAATTGATTTGAATGTGGCTTGCCTTTTAACCGTCGACCAATAACCAGCCGGCAATCCTTCTTGGGAATAAGGAAAGTTGGGGATTCAAGAAGAGGACGAGGGAGGTAAGGGAAGAGATACCGTACCTGCTTATTTAGAAGAGAAAACGAGACGACACGATACAGAACACTCTATCGTAATTATCATACAATTTTTATCCTGAGTAAAAATCGAACCGACCGCCTCCGTCTCAGCAGGCAGGATTACCATCAACAATTTAACAATCAATTTCAAAATCAAACACACAAACAGGTATCTTGAAGTTAAATATTTACGTACTACTGAGAGATGAGTTACTTAATGCCCCAGTAAGTGTTGTGGTGCAACACCCTTTCACCAGCCGCTGAGTAAACTATGAACTGACCGGGTCAATGTTACTTGTGTTAACGCATCGTATTGACTGCCGTGTGATCTCTGTGGAGTTTAATAGTTGTTTGGTTTCAGTATCTTACTCGTAAGTTGAGTATTTCCCATTGACCTATTATCTTATTCGCGAGGTAGGGAGGTAGGTACTCTTTATTGCACACCATAATTACGATACATGCGATGATACATAAAAAAAAAACGGTGACACAATGGCCGGCCTTATCGCAGTCTGCGATCTCTTCCAGGCAACCTTTAGATGAACTTCAACTTTCGTATATTAACAGTACAAGAAAAGAAAAAACCAAGAAGTGAAAACTTATATACTTATATACAGAGGTGTCGGTAACGGTAACGGTGTCGCATGTTCAATAGTTTTTTGTTTAAAAAAAA